AAGAGCACTGACAGCAACAGTAACCAGCCTTTGCTGAGGCCAGTTATGGACTGGCACACCTCTGTATTCATTGTACATATTGTTCATTTAATGTTCTCGGCATCTCTGTGAGACAGACCCCTAGCCACATGTGACAGAAAAGGAAATCGAGGCACAGAAAGGTCAAATACTTTGTGTAAGACCACACAGCTACTAAGTGGTGGGGCCAGCATTTGAAAATGGGTAAAGTCCAAGCATCTGGTGGTGGCATTGGCCTCTGCTTCCTCTCTGGCCTCCATTCTTGACATGCCCTATCGTGTGTTCTATAGCTTTGTACCTCTCTCCATCTCCCTCCACTGTCTTTTTCACCTCACCATCTTCCCTCAGCTTCACTGCACCCTTCTCCTGCCTAATACCTACTTCTGTTTCCAGATTCATTTGACCTGCCACCTCCTCTTGGAAGGCCTCCCTGATCTGCATGCCCTAAGTCCCAAGGCTGAATTAGGTGCCCCTCTTTTGTGCTTCCATGGCAACATATGTATAACCCAATCATTGCACACATTGCATGTGCTATTACAGGGCATTTATTTTCTCCACACATGACTATGGTTTCCTAAGGACCACAATGATTTCTTATCCATCACACTATCACCAGTATGTGGTAGTTAGGTTGGCACTCGGTCATTGTTTGTTGAGTTGGGAACTTTTTCTATAAGGAACCAGAGAATATTTTAGACCTTGCAGACCACATGCAAACTCTTCTCCTTTCTTCTCCTCCTCCTCCTCCTACTCTTCCAACTCTTGAAAAGCTTTTTGGTTTTTTTTTTTTTTTTTTTTTTAAAGAGCAACAACAAAAAAACAGTCTTAGCTTGAGAGTCATAAAAAACCAGCTCTGGGCCAAATTCTGCTTGCAGTTAGTAGTTTGCTGACTCCACTGTCATTGGGTAAGATGTTTCTAAACAAAACAATTCCTAGTCAAACTAATTCAGTGATTCTCAAAATGCAGGGTATGGAGATGGGTATATTTTTTCATCATCACAATGGCTGGGGGTGGAGGCTAGCAATGCGTTCTGCCCAGGAACCAGGGATGCTATGCTCCAAGGAAGCACAAGTAGCAGTGTGCAGCACAGTCCCCAAAACTGCCACAGGTACTCACTGAGGAGCATGGGCGGGCAGTTTGCTGATTTCCTTTTGTACTTTCTGGTAGCAATAAACTGCTTTGGGAATTCACTGAAAGAAAAGTCATTAGAGAACCAATTCCTTCACAGATCCAATTGTTTAGGCAGCAAGGATAAAAAGAAATGAGAATTCATCCCTGGGCTTTCAAGGCAAGGACCCTCTTAGGTTCTTCCCTGAGTCCCTGGCACAATGCCCAACACACAGAGGCCTCCATGTCCCTGAATCTTGCCCACCAGTGCTGCTGAGGATTAGCAGAAAAGTAGAGTGCCTCAAGACCTGCTGTAGCTTATTGTGTTTTCTGAGGTCTCAGTAGGATTGCCTAAGTAGGGTTGTCAGAAGGGGAGGAACTGGAAGATCACCTGAGGGCTTGGAACTGAAATAGAGATCCCTTAAAATGGATCAAAATCAGTCTTAGGTAGGCCAGAGTCACCTGAAAGTCCTGTCCCATGCTGAATGTTGAAAGGCACAAAGCTGCATGTCTGCAGGCTTCATTGAAAATGCACAACAAAACAGCAGGAATGGTGCAATGGAAAGGCTTGGTTATCATTGTCTTAGTTCATTTGGCTCACTATAACAAAATAATATTGACTGGGTAGTTTATAACAATAGAAATTTATTGCTCACAGTTCTGGAGGCTGGGACGTCCAAGATCAAGACACCAGCAGATTCAGTGTATGGTGAAGGCCCTCAGAGATGGTGCGTGGTTACTGTGTCCTCACACAGTGGAAGAGGCCCAACAGCTTCACTTCTTTTATAAGGACGCAATCCCATTTATAAGGGTGGGGGCCCCCATGACATCATCACTTCCCACCTCTGAATACTATTATGTTGGGTGTTCAGTCCCAACATGTTAATTTGAAGGGAGAAACCAACATTCAGATCATAGCAGCATGATATGCAATAACTCAGAGCAACCCTGCAGAATAGACCACTTGACTATCTCTTCCTCCTTCAGTTCAACTCCATCATACATTGGGAGTTTATTCGCATATGAGTACTTCAAGAACTTTGGTGAAACTGTATATACTCTCATCATAAAAACTAATCAAACATTTATCTAAACCCTTACTCAAGTGCTTGTAGCCACTTTATATGTAGGAAAACAGAAAAATATACCCATAAGTAGAAAAGGGTTCAATCATACTTTGGAATAGCTTTAACTATAGTTCCTAAACTAAAGCGACCTTAGTTAGAGCTGGACATAGAAGACTGAGGCTACTTCTAGCCTTTATTGACCGTGAAGTTGGAATGCATTGGCATGATCTTGGTTCACTGCAACCTTTGCCTCCCAGACTCAAGCAATCCTCCCACCTCAGTCTCCTGAGTAGTTGGGAACACAGGTGCACACCACCGCGCCTAGCTAATTTTTTGTATTTTTGGTAAGGACAGGTTTTCACCATGTTGCCCAGGCTGGTCCCAAACTCCGGAACTCAAGCACCTCACCTTGAGTCCGCCCACCTCAGCCTTCTAAAGTGCTGGGATTACAGGTGTAAGCCACCACACCTGGCCTGTGGATGAGTTCTTTCCTCTTTTGAAGCCTTTGTTTCCCCTTTTGTAAAACCAAAGTGATTGACCCCTTTCCAGCTTTTTTCTGGGGGTGATTTTGGTAATCCAAAAGACATGAGGCAGGTTAAAGTCTCTTGTGAGCTATAAAGCACCATAAAATATAAAATCCCTTAGGAAGTCTTATTTTTACATGAATCACAATCTGTTTCTTCACAAAACTTCCTTCTGCTTTAGAATTATTCCTCTTCAGAACAGATTAGTTACTTGCATGAGAAAACAGGTCATATCGACCTTTCATTTTGTGGCCAGACACTAAGGTACCAAGATTAGTTCTGATTTCATAGCATTGTTTGGAAGTTCCATGATAAGATTTCATAAAGCATTAGGTTAATTTATTCTGTTGTTGATTTATTCATGCAGGCCATATCTATATCAAGGGATCTACATTTGCCCAGTTGCAGCTAACACTCTTAAATTGCTATCTTTCCCATGTCATGGCAACCCCATGAGGTAGGTATTATTATTTCTGATTTCCAGATTAAAAAGAACAACAACTGAGATTTTGAGAGTTCAAGTGACTTGTCCAAGAAAATTTAATGAGAAAGTAACCATTAAAAAAAATCTTCTTTTCTATAAAGTTAAATCTAGTGCTAGTGTTCTATAAATTAAATATTTCCTAGAAGACTTAAAAAGTATTTTTTCTTGTTAAGTCACCAACATATACACAAATCATTCTTCAGTAAAAATCAAATTATGCAAGTGCAAAAAAAAATGACAAAAATGTAAGTTTTAAAAATTTCAGAAGCATTGCTTTTAGTCGGTTCTTCCCAGGTGCTGAAAGCAAATCCTGCAAGTCAATTTTTGAAGAAAAATATGAAGAAGGTAAAATATGACCAAAAACATCAGGAAAGGTGAAAAAGACTTGGTTACAAGGACTTCTGGCTTGTCAATTCTTACCTTCCTCAGAATTCTTTCTTGTTGGTTGATCTGTCATGTGTCTCGAAGGGATGGGAGCTATTTTTGTCTCTTATTTCCCATTCTGTTCCCTTGTGCAATGAGCCAGTGCCTTCAGAGATTAAGCAAATACCTCCTCTTCCTCCCCTTGCCACTCCACTCTCCTTTGGCCTCCATGACCCCAATATTCCTCCTGCTTTTGGAGGCCAGAGAGGCCAATATTCTAAAGCTAATTTTATTTACTTTCACAAAATGGCAGCATGCTCCAGGTTTTGCCAATGAGTTGCTTTATTATCTTGCATCCTTGTTTCTTAGCTCTGTTCCTGACAAGGCAGAAGGACGAACTCTATCTCTGAAATTGCAGGATGTGTGGGAAGTAGAATACTCTTTCAATATTAGCTTTATTTTTGTCCCCCTTTCCCAACGTCACCTCTGCTGGTCCAGAAAGCAGTGAAAAATATCTGTTTCTCTAAAGGCTTTAAGAGCTGCTTTCACTTTTGGGAAAGCTCAGTCTAGTGAGTCTGATTAATTCACTCCCAAGATGTGTGTAATTCAGCAGGCCAAGTGTGCCAAGCAGCAGCAGGCTTACCTGGGCACTGGGAGGGAAAAGTGCCCAAAGGGCAGGAGCTACTGCCACGTTTAGACAAAGCTCCCACTAACTAGAAATGGTCCTCCCCTAAAACCTTCATTATGTAAGTACTACCTATTCTAAAGTCCTACCTCACACCCTTGACCTTGAGCACGTCTGCTGGAAGAGACCCCTCTTACAGAGCTGCTCTGCGCCATGAACCACACAGCAGCATGTGTCACCCACCACCATACACCCCTCTTGTTTATATGGATATCTTGGTTTCCCTCCTGGATTTCCAGCTCCTCAAAGGCTGGAACAAAATGCAGCCTTACACCCTAAACAGCACTTGGCCTAGGGGTTTGCACACAGAATGTGCTCAATAAATTACTTAGTTTGTAAAATAATGGCTTCATTAGATTTCTGCAACTTTCCTAGGTTTAATGGTTTTAAAAGCACATGTGGGGAAATCATAAAACATTTTGAGACAAAACATTATTATTAAATTATTTTTTGATCAGAGTGAAAATCTTGAGGGAAACTAGAAAATATTTTAAACTGAATGTAAATGAAAATATAACATATTAAAATTTATGGGATATACCTAAAGCAGTTCTTAGAGGGAAATTTATAGGAATAGGTGATTATATTAGAAAAACTAAAGGTGTTTAATCAATCATTTTAGCTTCCATCTTACAAAACCAGATCAAATTCAATTAAGAGCAAATTCAATTCAAAGCAAACAAAAGGAAAGAAATAACAAAATAAGTGTATATATCAATGAAATTAAAAATAGAAAAACAATAGAGAAAAATCAATAAAACTGAAAATGTTTAATATAATTGGTAAACATCTATTTTAAAAAGAAGATACAAATTGCCAGTATCAGAAATGGAAGAAGGGGTATTACTACAGACCCTACAGACACTTAAAACAAATAATAATGAGTATTACAAAAAATTGTACACACACAAATCTTGCAAGTTAGATAAAAATGCACCAAGTTCTTGAAAAGTTCAATCTACCAGAATCTAGCCTTCATGAAATAGATAATATAAATAGTTTTATAATTATTAAAGACATTGAATTCAGAGTTAAAAATCCTTTGAAAAAGACACCTCTAGGTTCCGATGGTCTCACTGATGAATTCTGGCAAAGGTTTCAACAAGAAATAACAGTGATCTTCCCAGAAAAAAGAAAGGAATATTTCTCAGCTTGTTTTATGAAACCAGCATTACCCTGACACCAGACAAAGACAGTACAAAGAAAGAAAATTTAAAACAATATCCCTCAAGGGAAATAGAAGTTGCTATTCAATGAGTATAAAGTTTTAACTATACAGGATGAATAAATTCTAGAGCTCTGATATACAACATTGTGCCTATAGTTAACAATACTGTATTATATACTTCAAATTTGTTAAGAGGGTAGGTCTCATATTGAATGTTGTTACACGCACACACACACAGAAAATTGAATCCAGCAATATAAACTATATACAACAATAATATATGAAATAATAATACATCATGAATAAGTGTTATTAAATGAATGAATAGGTCAACAAAACTTCTGTTTTTATTGTGGTCATGGTTATGCAAATCTATACATGTATTACATTTCATAGAACTGTTCACATACAAACCAATCGGTTTTACTGTCTGTTAATTTTTAATATAAAGTTCAAAAAATTATATGTTTTTATATGTGTCATCTCTATGATGACAGTAACTAACATTTGTACTACACTTTCAATACAATGTGCTTTCAAATACATTTCACATAGTTGACTCAACCACAACCATATGAAGTGTATTATTGATCCCATTTTTACAGATGGGAAAACTGCCTTAGAGAATTGAGATGGCTTCATATGTACTAACGAGCAGAACCATGCCACAGGACCGGGCCCTCAGTGGAAGGCCCCTGCCAGCAGAGGTTCCCACTGACTCTCCCCTGACTCTGCCCTTAAGTCCCCAGATGGTGACAGAGTGAAATTCTGAGTCCCCCAAATAGAAAGCGAGCCCATGAGCAATTTCACCCAAGGACAGCAGCTCCAGGCCTCGCTGGAAAAGGTTTCCAGTGGGAGCAGGAACTCACAGCTCTTCAGCTCCAGCTCCAGTTAACCTTCATAAAATCGAGAGTTCAGTTCACCCACACCAGAGAAGGCTTTGCCACTCCTTCGATACCTGCTTTCCAGATGCTTCTTTTCCTTTTGTGATTATCTCTTTTACCATGAGTGTGAGCTATTCCACCATGTTTGAAGTAAGTGGTGAAAGGTGGGAGTGGAGGGGCAAGGGGACTCTCAGGCAAGAATGAAAGTTGCCAGAGTATTCCATTCTATTCTCTCCAATTCCCTGCAACTTCATTAAAACATTTGTCTGATATCAGCACCATAGGAAAGGTTTAAAGAAGCGTTTATCTCAGAGACCACCTACTCCTCTCAATCCCACCAATTAAAACAAAAATCATGTGTGTGTTAAGGAAGGAAGAGAAACCAAGAAACTGGGAAACATAACCACTGGGGTTCTGGTTAATTGAGATGGTCAGGAGGAATGAGGGATGAGGGGTGATATTCCAGGAACACTCGAGTGAGGAACGTGCTGATGAAAGATTGCTTATATTTGAGTAACTCTCCCTTCTTTAATTCAGTGAACACTCATCAAATATCCAGAGGGTTATCTGTCCAAGAAACTGCGTATATGCTGTCTTCGTCAGAGAAGCAGATTTTGATTGCCAAGAGCCATTTTCAGTGGACTTAATTTTAAAACAGAATAACAGCTCAAGATGCTGCAAGGAACTTTTGCCAAAACTCTGGAGCCTATCCTGACACACTTTGGACAAGCAAGGGGTGAATGTATTTCCTAGTGGTCACCAGCATAGTCCTTACTCTATTGAAAGCACATCATGTTGGAGTGATAATGTGTTTCTAGAGGCTTAATTCTGGATGAAACATCTGGAGGCTAAATCATTTGCTACCATTCTAAACCCATGGAAATCTGACATAGGGAGTACAGAGATGAGTGAATTCTAGAAGGCACAGAAGATGTAAAGTTGAGTCTGAGACAGTATTGGAATAGGGCAGTGGGCTAAGGGAGACCTTTGCAGGGTCTTTGCAATCTGTGTCTGGGGAGTAAGGCACATATGGGTAAGCCACATTTCACACACTGGCACTAGCAAAACATAGCCAAGGGCAATAGATGACTTCATCGTATGCCATATTTTCTAGGAGCAGGAGGCAGCAGAGCATGCCTTTTAGGGAAGGCAATTGTATGACTCCTGTGCTTGAAGCAACAAATTCTACTGGTTGGAAGGAGGGCAACTCTGGGAGGACATGTTTTAGGGGAGAGCAAGAAAGGACCCAGTTGCTTCTCAGGCAACCTGAGGTTATCTTGAGAGCCCAGGATTCTTTCTTCCTTAAGAATCCAGAACAAGAGATTTAAAAATAATATTTTTAAATATTCCTACATCCAAAGGATTTCTGCTTCTGGAGGCAGATAGCCTACTTTCGTATCCTCCAAACAAAGCCAGTATAAGTACCTAGGATACTCCTGAATTAATTTTATGATTTTGGTGTGCTGAATTTGTCATTTAGTTTTCCAAGTCTGTGAGACAGGTTTTATGATCCCCATTTTACAGATGAGGACATTAAGACTCAGAGAGATTCAGGAACTTGTCAAAACCTCTCAACCATGATGTGGCAGGGCAGGGACTAAATCCCAGATCCGTGTAGTGCCCTACCCCTGCCCCATGTTGCCTTTCCTATCTCCAGCGAGGCTCTTACACTGAAAGCCACCTCTAGGGATTGCAAAGTTGACAACCTTTGACAAATGCAAAAGGAGAATTTCCTTTCGTTTTTTAATTTGATAAGATACTAATAGGTGCTTCACTGCTGACCTGGAGTATTTGTTTAAATGTTTTTCAAATCCTTCTCTTTCTTTCTTGCTTCCCTCCCTCCATCCCTTCCTTCCTTCCTTCCTTTCTTCTTCCCTTCCTTCCACAAATGCACTCTGAAGGGGTATTACACGGATGGGGTGATGTCAGGCACTGTGGAAGTCACACAGATAAATGAGACTCAGATTCTTCCCTCAGAGGGTGTACGAGGTAGTATTTGATTGCAAAAAGGCATGTTACAAGTAGACTATAATAAAGGCCAACCACTCCAAGAGTGCCTCCATTGCCCTTACTGGGATCTACCATTTATTTGTTTGTTTGTTTTCTTTTGTTCTGTCACCCACCAACAGCAAGCTCCCTGTGAGTAGGAACGCATCCCTCCTATTTGCCATTGAATTCTCAGGGCCTGGAACAGAATCTGGCACATAGTTGGTGCTCAATAAATATTTGTTGGCTGAATAAATAAATGAGAAATTGATCCTTAGTGGGATCTCCTGGGAAGTTTCAAGGTGAAAGTATCATTTGAACTGGGCCTTAATGAAGAGGTAGAGTTTTTATAGGCAGGCATGGGAGCTATGCACATTCCAGACAGAATGTGAAGAGTATGGAGACAGATGAGAAAAGCTGGCCTGTGTGTGAAGGACACTGAGTTTGGTTGAAGTGTAAGGAGTGGGTGCAGGAGGGAAGTTAGGTTGAGGTTATATCACGGGGGTCCCGAATGGCAATTGTTTGCTCAGCTGGCAAAAGAAAACCATTTAAGTTTCTGTAGAAGGGAGAGGCTGGCTGGAGCTGTGGGTGAGTGTGATGATCTGGTAGTGACACTTTGTGTCAGAGCTGGGAGAGAAAGGAGGGGAGGTTGGTGCGCATGCTGGGTGTGGTGGCAAGAGCCCATGTGAGGGGGACAAGGGCCTGAACTGGACAGAAATTGTAGGACTATGAAGAGGAGGGCTCTTCACAGCCAGATATTCAGGTCTCGGGAACTCACTGAATGTGGAAGCTGTTGGATAGCGAGACATTAAAGATGATGTTGATGTTCCCAGCTCAGATACCTGGAGAAGAGAAAGGGAAGTCAGAGTTAGGCTGAGAGGAGGAGAGGAAAGGAGAAGTGTGTTTGGTTTGTGCATCTTGAGTTTGAGTGCCCAGTGGGATGCCTAGTGAAAATGTCCAGCCAGTTGTCAGAATGTCAGAGGTAAGGGGTGTGGCCCAACGAGGCCTTCTAATCACTGAGCCAAAAATAGTTAATGGAACAGAGCTGGGAAGCCTGTTGAGGCAGCCTGCAGGATTACAGGCTGCAGAGCTTTAGCCTTTGAAGAGAACTTGGAGCTCACTCCCCAGCCTCTGCACAGAAGGGGAATCTGAGGCCTAAAGAATTTGGGTGGCTTGCCCAGTTTACATAGCCAATTTGATCCCCCAAATTATTATAGGAGGTCAATTAACTTTTAGGTGATTGAAATATTGAAACAGAAAAGCTCCTCACTTTCATCTCTCTAAGGGCAAAGCTGGTTAGAGTACTATACCAATGAAATTTCCAAAATCCATCACTCTAAGGGCAAAGCTGGTTAGAGTCCTGTACCAATGAAATTTCCAAAGTCCATCTCTCAAAGGGCAAAGCTGGTTACTGTACCAATGAAATTTCCAAAGTCCATCTCTCTAAGGGCAAAGCTGGTTAGAGTACTATACCAATGCAATTTCCAGGATCCATCTCTCAAAGGGCAAAACTAGTTAGAGTACCGTACCAATGAAATTTCCAGAATCGTCTCTGTTGGTAAACTTAGCTGCCACCTAGATGAGAGCAGGGGCCTAAGGAATCAGGTGCAGGGTGGGTGATGGCTTGGATTTTATTGGTTTTTTTGTTTTTGGTATGTTTTTGTCTTCTGGGGTCTCCCGTATATAGCACTCTGTGAAGGCCATAGTTATGGAAGATTAATTTGTTTTCAGTCTTCAATTTGTAGCCTCTCACTGAGAAAATGTTTCTAAACTCCTGGGAGATGGAGGGCAGGAAGAAAAGCAAGCCTTTTACTGGACCCTAAATTATTTTCTTTTTCACCTAAAGGACATGTGTCCAATTACAAACTACAGGACTTTTAAGAAAAGCAAACAAAACCCCAACTACATAGCAAAGGTCATCCAGCCTGCGGAGGGAATGATTAACTTTTGTGAAAGTGATTTTTCAGGATTTTTTAGAGAGTTCAAAGGTACAACTGGAAAATGTTAGCCCAGGGCAATTTTAAGAACACCTTTCTCTACCATCCGGCACACTACGAGCTCCACCCATTCCACCTTCAGGGAAGGACCTTGACCCATGTCCACGCTGGGGAATGTCCTCTATGTCAAGGTCAGGGAACAGCACCCACAGAGGGTGCCTCTGGGTCCCTCTCTGCTCAACTCCCTCTCTCTTGGTTCCTGCGGGGCTCATTGGGTTGTAGGGCCCAGCGGAAAGACTGAGTCTGGTCCTGGTAGGCTGTGCCTTCACGTCTCTCCTGTCACCTGCACTGTAAGGAATTCATTATGACAAATGCATCAAGAATATGGCTCTGTCCACTACAGCCCATGACCTTGGGCAAGTTCTCTTTTCTCTGTAAGCCTCCAAGTGTTCATTGGCAAAATGGGTTTATGCTGCCTACCTACTCCAAAGGAGTGCCGAGGGGATTAAATGAGATAAAACACAAAGCCCCCAAAATAATGTGCCAGGCACATAGGCAGCATCTGCAAATCTGGTGTCCTGTCCTTTCCTTTCCTGGAGCATTCTGACCCATCCACCCTCTTTATGACCTTCCTACCATGACGCCTGGCCTGGGGGTGATGGAGCGCTTAACTTCCCCTTCCCTTCCCTTTCCTTTCCTTTCCCCGTGGGCATTAGTCTAAGGAAAAGGAGTCCATAAGAGCACACACAGCATCATTCTTCTGTCTTCCACAGCCCCTTTAATCTTGCAGGGAAGGAGGCTGGGCGCCCTGCAGCAGCACAGATATGTCCAGATGAGCCAGTATCTATACTGGGGTAGCTGTCCACCCCCCGTCCCGACCCCCAGTCCTAGGCAATAAAAGAGACCCACTTGAAAAGAGGACCCAAGGAGCTGGGCGGAGCCTGTGGATCAGAGTCCCCTCGCTGGGCACTGGGTGGGCTGAGGGTTACCCCCAGGCTGCAGAGCGCCTGTGGAGGCCGCCGTCAGCGCGTCCTCCGCCTCCCGAGGGCTGGCGTGGGCGGAGGCGGCGGGGCTGCGGATCTCGGAAACCGCAGTGTCCCAGTCTGCTCTCTGGGGCGGGCTCTGCCTTCAAGCGGGAGGAATTTCCCCAGCCCTTCCCGGCTCGGCGCCGCGAGGAGCCGCGGGCGCCCCCTGCCGCTTCCGAGCCGCGGAGCGCAAGGCGGCCTTCCCGTTAGACCCTAGTCCCTGTGCATCTTTCCCTCCAGCCTCAGCCCCGCGCAAGCCGGGGCGTCCTCTCCCCTCTCTCTTGCTCCTCCCTGCTCCTTCAAGAGCCCGCGTCCTGGTCACAGACAGCAGAAGTCACATATGGCAGCCCCTGGACAGAGAGAGTCAATGGCAGAGAGTCTTCCTGACGCCCCTCACATCTCACTGTGGGGCAAAGGAGAATATCCTGGAAAGAGGCAGGAGAGAGGGGGAGAGAGGGGCCAGCGCCCCCATGGAGGGGCTGTGACAGCAGGAGACGACGGGAGCCCAGGCTCTGCTTCCTTTGTACACCCGGCCACCAAAGGACCCAGACTGTGCCTGTCCCTACACCGGTGCAGCCTTCCTTGCTCACCGGGTCCCTCAGACCTAAACCACACTTTGGGGTGCTCTGTAGTAAGCACCCCAGTGTGTGGAGTGCTCAACCTAATATCCCTCTATCCCTCCTATAGAGACAGGTTACATTTTGCATTAGAAGCAAGAATCCTGCTCAGGTGGTGAAGGTGGTTTTTTCATTTGCAGTAACATTCTGTCTCACAGAGGGCACTGCTCACTCCGGCCTTTGTATTCTGAGCATTGGTAGGTCGGTCCTCACAGGAGATTCATAGGTTACAAAGTCTGAGAACATAAGATACATGCTCAAGAAAGCAAGTTACACCGCCAAAAATAAAGCTGGTTGAATGAGAGGAAATGAATGGTCTAGACTCAGAGACAAAGAGAACCAAGACCACTACTGTTTGTCTCCGTGCTTGGCAGGAAGGGAGGGTGAAAGCCTGAACTCTTTTCTGATGTGCTTTGTTTAAATGCAGTGTGTGTTGTGTGTGTGTGTGTGTGTGTGTGTGTTGCTCACACAGTCTACATGTTGCACGTTGGAGCTCAGTTAAGCTAAGCATGTCCAGCAAACACCTGCTATAAAGTATGCACCAGTGCCCACAGTTGTCAGCGGCTGCCGTGATGAGCTGCCAGGCTGGCCCCTCTGCAGCATGAGTGTGCATTCTCAAGCTCTGCTGCATCAAGCTGTGCTCTGCACAGTGAGGAGAGCCAGGCCCTTCTGGGAAAACAGGCTTCTGGAGCCACAGGCAATTTTTCTGTCCCTAAAACTAAAGATGTGGGATTCTTCAAACTCTCAAAATGTTATTTTGTAGAGGAAAGAGCCTGGCCTGAAAACTAGAAGACCTGGGTTCAAATCCAAGCCCTGCCACAAAGCAGAAACATGTTATGGAACAAAATCATTTATTCATCCATTCCTTCATGCAATTATCTATTTAACAACTATTCATTGAGTTCTTACCCACTGAGCATTGTTCCAAGTGCAGGAGATATAATACAACAGTGAACAAGACAAGCTCTTCCCCTGCATAGAGTTTATATTCTAATAGGGGAACCGGCAAACCACTATGGGGAGAGTGAAGTATGGTGCGGGGCAGAGTGCTGAGGGGCCAGCTGTGTTAGGCTGGTCGGGGAGGGTTGGGACATGTCAGCATATGGGGCATGGGTTTCTGAGCAAAGGGGGAAACAGGCCCTGGGCAGGACGGAGCTTGGGTGTTTGAAGCAAAGCAAGAAAGCCAGTGTGGTATGGTTGGAACAGGCTGAAGGAGTGTGGTAGGTGGCAAGGAAAGAGAGAATGGCCCAAGTCAGATCACATAGTCCTTGTGGGCCTTGGTGGGGAGTTCCACATTTTTTCTAAGAGTGATAAGAAGCTATTGGGAGGATGAGAGCAGGGAAAATAAGCATGATTGGGTTTGCAGGTTGCAGGGGCCATCGTTGCTTTTCTGTGGGGAGGAATGGGTTGGGGTGGGGTGGCAAGAGTAGGTCTGCAGCAGTCTGGAAGAGAGAGGCATGACCTGCCCTGGGGTGGGCTGACCTGCAGGGTATGAGGAGGCCTACCTGGACTACATTGAGAAAGGAGAGCCAAGTTATGTTCTGGTGGCTTGAACGTGGTGGGTGGTGGTCTCAAGGCTAACTCTTGGGCCTCTGGCTGAAGCATGTGGCTGAAGTGACACTGTTTACTGAGGCAATGGGAGCTTTGAGAGGGAAAATGAAGAGTTCAGCCTGGGACATAATGCATTTGCTTTGAGCAAATTGTTTTCCCTCCTCTCTTTGGACCTCTGCCTTTGCATCTGTAAAATGAAGGGGTTGGCCCAGCTGATAACCAGCATCTCTTCTGTGGTGATTAGAGCTATTTTTTTTTTCTAATTTTTCTGTGTTCTTTCAAATCTACCAATATATTCTGAATTCAGAGGATAGAAATGATGGACCTGTTTCAATTCTCTTTGGGGGTGAGGAGAAGAGACGAAACAAGCCTGTGTTTCCCATAAGGGGTCCCACGGAGGCTGATGTCCTGGCAGCCATGAGGGAGAGAGCATGGGAGGAGGGCGAGGCGAGCCAGTCAGGATGGAGGACACAGGCGGGGAAGGACGACCTGAAATGTGTGACTGGCCACAGTTTGAGTTAAAGTTCATTTCTTAGACTTTCTATGTTTGCATTTTAGAAGATTCAAGGGCTTCTGAAAGGAAAACTATTTTAGACTTTCAATTACAAACTACCTCAGTTTGTGGTTTAGTGGAAAGAGAGCTGGCCTGGGAGTCATCACTAACTCTCTAAAGCCCAAGACAATCATTCAGTCTGTATGGACCTCATCATATCCAGTCTACATTTTTTTTTTAAATTTTAAACACTTTTACTGTATCTTTAAGATAGAAAATTTTGTGATTCTATTGCCTTAAAGAACTAATAAATGAAAAGTCCAAGAACTTAAAGATCTAAAACGATAGCTTTGAAGAAGTATTGCAAACATTTTTATTCAACACATATTAATTGTATACTTACTAATGTGCCAGGCTCTGTCCTCGGCTCTAAAGATACAACCCTGAAAATGCAGATAAAGCCCCTTCTCATGGAGCCTTCACTGTGGTGGGAGACAGATGGTAGCTGGAGAGCTGGAAGTCCAGGTGGTGCTGAGTGCTATGGAGAAGAATAAAGCAGAGGATGGGGTAGAGCTTATCAAGACTGATGTGGGGTGGGGATGGAGCCAGGGATACTATTTTACATGGGAAACTTAGGGAAGGTCTCCAGAGGGAGGGAGCAACAAGCACAAAAGTCTTGAGGTAGGGCCATATTTGGGGTATTCTGAGAAGAGTGAGAAAGCCAATGTGACTAGGGATGTGTGTGAGAAATGGGGAAAGGAGAAGATGGGTTTGGAGAGATCGGGGCTCCAGGTCATCCAGGGCCTTGGGACTGTAGTATGAATGAGGTGGGAAGTGATTGGAGGATTGCGAGCAGATGAGTAACATGACCTGAAAAACTGAAGGAAGACCCAAATTCCAAATGAACGTGGGGGGAAAAGAATCCTTGGGATATCAGACACCATGTCAAGATGCACTAAGCTCTAAAGCAACTGGGGATATTTGTTTCAGCAAATGCTTAAAACAAAATTGTTGGCCCTTGGTGTGCAGCTGGCTGGAAGTTTCATCTGTTTATCTACTGAAGGGTTGTTGGTTGTCTGTTGTGTGCTACACACTGGGGATTCAATGAGATAAAAGACATAATCTCTACCTGTTCTACAGACGAGGATGTTGAGGTCTTGCCAAATTTAGTGAGTTATGGGCTAGTAAGTGGCAGAGCTGGAATTCCAATCCTGGGTTGTCTGACTCTAGATGGGGGAACCCACATTTGCAATCCTGCAGGATACCCAGATGAGGAAAAGCATTTTGAGAAATGAAGAGACTTGCCCAAGATTGCCACACTCTAAAGGGCAGAGCTGGATTTTAAAGGGATGCCTATAGACTGTCTGTCACGGTGCCATAAGTTGAAATCCCTGGAAGGCAGCTTGGTGATAAAGATGCGTAGCAGAATGTTTAGTAGGGAGCGCCCTCAACAGCAACCTGTGAAGGCAGAGGAAGGAAGCAGGGTTGAGCTGAGGATATAACTGAGCTCTGATGCAAGCCCAACACAGGCCTCGGCCAATCCTGAGGAAGCTCTACAGCTAAGAACAGGCCTTCAGAGTTGTCCTGAGTTGGGGTGAGGGGCCTGGGCCTTTACACACCCACGTTAATCAATCTTTGGGTCTGGCTGCCCCTAGAAGGGAAGTAATTTTGGCTGAGGCAGTTTTCTTCAGTGAGGTCATCCTCCAAGAAGAATGACACTGGTATCACACTGGGAAATAAGCCTTTCACTCCATCCAGAGGGACCTGAGCAGCACATCACAGAGTCTATACATTTTCTCCACCTCCTCACATAGACTCTCATAGACTCATGTCCCTGGCCTTTTTCAGGTTACAAAAATATCATAGACCCACTTATTATATTTGACCTTTTAAAACAATTTCTTTAAGGAGGTCTGCTTTAAGGAGGTGGGTGAAAAAAAAATCTTTAGGCTATTTTTACCATCATATTTTATATTTTATGTAAAAAAGACATTAAGAAACGGTTTTTAGTTTTCCTTTCATTTTATTCCCATCCCACATTTAGCCAGTCTATTTCTCTCCTTTCTGTCTTCACTCTTTGGAGGTGGTGGGCAGTGGAGAAGGTTGTACTCAGGTATTCTAATAGAAGAGCTTCCTTTGTACAATTAGGGGGAAAAGATAGAAGTGTTGCCTTTAAAGCTACTGATAGCCTGTAGAGTATCAGCCTGAGGAACTTTATTAACTACATTATTCTATCCGAGCAAAGTGAGGGGTACTCACCCTTGGGGGTCACCTCGTTTTGTTGGAACTGCTTGTGAAGGATCAGGTGGTGGCATTTCATAGGAACCACCTGCAGTGCACAGGAAGGCCAGACTGGAGTTGTACATGTGAGCATCCTTGGAGTGTGGATAGTACTGGAAACCACAGGAGTAGCTAAAATTGCTAGACTGAGTGAGTAGAGTCTGAAAAGAAGAGAGCCCAGGACCAAGCCCTTACAGGGAGGATGATAATATTTAGGGGAGGGCAGAGAAGGAATCAAAAGAGACTCAGAAGGAGGTGAAGGAGAAGCAGGGAGTGGTGTCACAAGGACCGAGAAAACAGGGATGCAAGGAGGAGGGGTTGACTGCTGAATGCTTCTAAGAAGTTGTATAAAATTAGGAGCAATAAGTAGCACTTGATTTTGCACATAAGGTGGGAAGAGTTTATGTTTGAATGAAGTTTCTAGCTGGCTTGAGGTTTTGTTTGAATGAATTTTTCTGTGTACTCAGCAGTATAGCAGATTAGGCACTCTGGATGACCTCCCAACTGAAAGAGCTAAAATGCTGTTAAATATATGAACTCTAAAACCTTTACAAATAAGTCTCTGAGGTAGAAGGAAAAATATCAGGAAGAAAGAAATCCACAGACTCCAAAAATGAAATAAAACTAAGAACCTTATGAGCACAGAGCAAAACTAAGTTTTTCCCTGACAGGTTTGCTGATCCTAGAAATCTGGAACCTTTCATGGTCAGCAGTACTAGTCTAGGGAATAGATGAGAATGTCTATGGCCTGCAAAGGGTAGGGAATCGACTAAGATTCCCCTGCCTAAATTTGGCCCAAATGCCCATGCTTTCAGAATAAGGGTGAATGAGGAATAAACCTGCCATAAATAATGCATCTTGCTTACCTTGACCTTAGCACTGGAAAGAGGGTGGATAAATTCCCTAAGGATTTTTAACCACAAGATAGTCTCAAATGTTTTCTATATGGATTCATCTACCTCTTGGCCTGAAAAACCACAAACATCAAGTTTAATTTTAAATGGTCTCGAGTTGGTATGCTCTTGGGTAAGTAGCAGAATTAAAAGCAAATCCTTTTAGATACCTCAACTTCAAACCAAATGTCAAACAAATTCCTACTGATAAAGTTTTAAGGAAAATAAACAGAATTTTCAGATATGGAATGTAGAACAATTATGTCTATTACGTTTAAACAAAAGAGAATCTTACAAACATGGGCAGGAACATGAGACCTTAAAGAACAAACAGGCAGGTTTAAGAAATAACCAAACAGACTTCCTAGAAACATTAGAAATTTAACATTCAGTGGACAGATTAAACAATATATTAGATGCAGCTGAAGAGAGAATTAGTCAATTGGAAGCTATATCCAAAGAAAGTATTGAGAATGCAGATCTAAGAGATAAAAAAAAGATGCCAGTTCTAAAAAAAGAAGGTAAAAGAGAGGGTAGAATGATAGAATGTGTTATACATATAAATTGAGTTTCCTTCTACAATGGAATACTGAGAGAATGGGGAAGAGACAATCTTTAAAGTTAAGGGCTGGAAATACAGAATAGTTCCCCAGATTCAAGAGGCCTAATAAATCCAAAGAAAAAGAGAAAGAGATACAGAGACAGAGAGAGAAAGAGTATTAAAAGAGCCTAGATGGAATAACGCAGATACTCTACAAAGAAACAACAAATAGTCTAATGACTGACTTGTAAAAAGCAATAACAGAAGCCAGAAGACAGTGAAAAAAAATTTTAATATGCTGAAAAAATTTGTTTTTCAACATAAAATTGAAATTACCTTTCAAGAATAAAGGTGAATAAGAACAGTTTCAAACAAATAAAAATTGTTTACTCTTGTATACTCTCACTATAGAAAATGCTAGAGCATCTACTCCAGGCAGAAGGAAAATGATCCCTAATAGAAAATCCAAGATGCAAGAAAGAGTAGCGAGTAAACATAGTGGCTAATATGTGCATAAAATAAGAAATATTAAATAATGTAATAAAATATCTATTTTATTTATGTGTATGTGTGTAGGAGTGTGGCAAATAGGCTAGAATCAAAATCCAGATGACAACAGCAGACAATGTGGTAGGGAGAGTGATAGCAGCCAAAGTCTTCAAGTCCTTGTCATAAAGGAAAATGAAGGTATTGATTAGCTTTAGACTTTAATCTACACAATTTAGTCTGTATGTGTAAATAGTCTTGGTAACCATTAAAATGACAGAGATAGAGTATGGACTTTCCAAGCCAGTAAGAAGAAAAATAAATTTAAAAAGAAGAAACAAACCTCTTAATATTAAAAAGGTGAAAAGTGGGGGGCAGAGGATTTATGAAATAGGTCAAATAGAAAGTAAATAATAAGAGAATAGAAATGAATCCTTATGTATTGTCAATTAGAATAAATATAAAAGGACTAAACATAGAGTCAAAAGACCTCAACCATCAGATGGAATTGTTAAAAAATCAGCCATTTATAAAGAATGCGGTTATCAACAACATAAATATACAAACAGAAAGTTAAAGGATGGAAAAATATGTACCAGGAAACTACTAGCCAAAATAAAGTGATATTATTGTATTAATAACTGACAAAAATCAATATTTAGGCAAAATGCTTACAAGAGTTTAAAAGGTCACTTTATAGTGAAAAAGCTTCAACTTTATAAAAATTCTAAATCATATATCCCTAATAATATAATCTCAATGTACATTAAACACAAGTTTGACAAAACTATAAACAAAAATTGAAAAGTCCATTATCATAATGAGACATTTTAAAACAACTCTCTCAGTAAATGTTAGGAAATACAGTCCCCCCCAAAAATCTATAAAATATAGAAAATTTGACCACTGCATGATCTAACTGACATGTATTAGACATTACATCGAAACTTGTATATCTTCTTTGTATGTACATAGAGCAATGAAGAAGTGCTAAGCTAAAAAGCTGGCCTCAATTAATATCAAGGGATTGGGGTCATTC